GGTTAAGACCACTTCATCGAATCCTCCGTGATTTAATTTCATGTTTATGAAAATGCTTAAAAATGTAGATGAAGATGCAAAAAATGCAAGAATGTGCATGAAATGTTCGAGGCATTGATCCAAGAATATGATTGTTATTATGAATAATCCTTATTGGGGACAAAAATGTTTTATCTTTTAAGAGATAAAAATATCCTGACAGCTTCTGACATGTTGACTAGTCTTCTGCTTTCGTCTTTCATCGGTTGAATAACCTGTCGAATCGCTCCGGCCTCTCTGGATGAACAGTGAAAATGTTGAGTTGTTTTTTGTACTGGTCCAAGAAGTCTCGAATGATCGCATCTCGAGCATTTACTTGTGTCAACGAATTCGTCATTGGACCCTTAATTGATAGGAACTATGTGAAGTTCATTAATCTGTTTCTTGAATTCGCCAGCAATGGTCTCTAATTTCAGCTATCATTTTGACATTGTTGTGTTCAAAGGGACTTCCGAGATACATAACCTTCATCTTGCCCCTGCAACCTCTGTCAGTCAGTTCTTCAAAGATAAGCTTTCATTGCGCTTGATGTAGACCCGGTTCATTCTGAGTTCTTTATAATGCAACAGAGTGATATACTCTTCAATTGTAGGCACCACATCTTTTGGATTGAATGTGACACATAGTCGCCTTATAGACTATCCTCTGTATTTTCATCTCTTGTATTACAACACCTTTGTCCATGGATTCAGACTATTCGAGTTTTAACAAACACGTTTTAGTGGATCAATGACCTCTTTTGAATAATGCAAGTGATGAAAATAAATAAAATAGAAGAAAGATGAAAAGAGTTAGTGATGTGAAAAATAATAAAAAATGATCATAAAAATGAAAGTCCTACCCCACATGATATCTACCTCACATGCTTATTATTCCTACCCGAACATGATCTATATCCCACAAGTTGATTTTGAACAAGTTCTAACCGCATAAATTTCTAGTTCACATGCTTTGAACAGAAAGTAAAGTAGGAAATAATTCCGGCATCCTAGGGTTTGGAATGAGGTTTTGGGGTGGGCTCTAACTCATTGTAGTCTCCCGGTTTAGGTTCTAAAAAAAAGGTACCCGAGTTATCCTTTCTGGTGCCCCCTTGGGCTTACCAGACCCTTAGTCCTAAACCCATCACAGGCTTGTATGGACTAAGTTAAACTCGGGAGGATACATTCCCTTAGGCCCATACGGAGAATAAATTCACACGAAGACATAAGGTATATGAATCCCGAAGGTTACTTGCTAGGCCCATACGGAGAATAAATTCACACGAAGGCGTCGCTTTCACCCCCACTTAAATAGGGTCCGGGGCTCGGGTATAGAGCCAGAGATAGAAACTTTTCAAAAATCTGAAATCATTGAACAAAATGTCAGTACAACTATTTATTTGAAAAATGATCAAAGATAAATAATTAGAATCGAATAAATAAATTTAAAATTAAAATTTTCGCATAAAAAGACAACCGAAAATTAATTTTGGTCTGACTCACTTACCTGTCCCCAGCGGAGTCGCCAAGCTGTTGTAACCGTCTTTCGGTTAGGCCCCAGAATTGGGCTTCGACTTGAAAAATGTGGATTGGAGTCGCCACCGACCACTTATTTTAAATGGGTTGATCGGATACCCTATTTCTTACCTGATCTGCGTTATACCAGAAATACGTCGGGTTCGGGAGTCGGTTACGGTCAAGGAAGGATTAGCACCCTTGTACCGCCCTTTCGGTACCAATTAATTTTTCGGTTGTCTTTAATTGTGAAAATAAAAAAAATTAAATTACCCGATTCGAAGTACCTACCTTTGATCGAATGAAATTTCTAAAAAGTCAAAAATGTTAGATTTTAAGGGTAATAAAAAAAATAAGAAAGAACAAATAAATAAATAAAATACACAAAAATTAAAAGGAAAAAATAACTAAGATTAAAAATGTTAAACTTAAAAAGAAAAAAATAACAACTAAAAATTTAAAGGACTAAATTGAAATAAATTAAAATTGATGGGTTAAATTGATACTAAAGATGAACTGCAAAAAAAATAAAGTTAAGGGGCCAAATCACAATGAGGAATGACTTCAAGAAAACAAATGAAATTTATCCAAACCTGGAAGGACTGAAACAACAATTTGGCCCTTAGGAATTCAAGACCAACATGTTACACTGTTGGAAATTATAACAGTGCACGTGTTTTGAAAACCAAATTTCAATTTGGTTTATTTCTCCTCCCTCTCCACGAAATGAACACAGACAAGTGCTCGCCTCAGCTCCACTTTTCAAGGGCTAGCAATGCTCATCGCCAGTCACTATTCGAGCCGAAATTTCACGGGAAGTTTCGTTTTGACGTCGTGAACGTGGATTCGATCTTCTTTTCGCATGAAATGGCCTCTCTACTACATTTCCTTGGAACACACATGGTGTATGGAGTCCAACTCTTCCCTTTCCTTTTAGGAAGCTTGCTTTATGATTTCAACATCTTTTGATAAAGATGATATGAACCAGTCAACATAAAAGATCTCTGAGAGGTTACTGGCATCCTTCCAAAAGGATTTTTGGTCCAACTTTGGAACAAGAGTAGCATTTAGAACGCGAGCAGCAACAACTGCATCAGTAATCCCAGTTCTTTGCCGGTTCAAGCCTCCACTAGTGCAATAGACAGATATCGAGTGGGATGCAAAAACAGCTTCAACGTTTGCAAATTTGGAGCTGGTATTACTGCATCCATAAAATAATTCAGCATTTATCGAACTCCATATATCACAATCTAACTTTCCTCCGCTACTCGGAACATGGAAAACTGAATCTTTACTGGTAGCAAAATCCTCAACGACTGTAGTAAAAGAGCTCTGGTGATGGCGGAGGTGGAGGTGCATGCTAACCAGAGATCGGATGCGGTTTCTGTGGAAAAGGCTTCGACGCCGTGGCCAGGCCATTGCACCGGTACTGCCGCCGCTCTTCCACTCTCTTCGTTCCAAGAAAAAACTATAAGTCGAGAGTGTGAAAAACCAATTGATCTCTCTCTCGCTCCCTTGTTTTTCTTTTCGTTTTTCCCCGATCCCCCGTTTGTGCTTTTCCTTTGTGCATATTCCCCCTTCCCCCCTAACAAATATGACCTGGGGTTTACTTATATATCCCACTGCTTTGGATATTCCAAGTTATGAAGTGGAAGTTTTAGGTGGGCGCATATTGTGGGGTAGTGGTTTAGTGGAATAGTGGGGTGAAGTTATGAGATAATGGTGGTGGTTGGATCCTTGTTGGACCTATAAACAAAAAAATGAAAAATATATATTAATAATAATAATAAATAAATTATAATGATATAAAACCCGATCAAAAACGGTTGTCTACAAATATCGAATATGGTTTTGAAAAATAAATATTTAGTTAACCAAAACTAAACTATAGAAATAGGTAATGACTATCAGGGTCGGTCCTAACTATTTTTTTGGTTCGATAGGAAAATAAAAAAAATGACCTCTAATTTAAAAGAAATTAAAAAATGTAATATAATTTTTTATTATTTTTTATTAAATTAAACAAAAAATAATTCATTACAATAACAAAAATGTCAAAAAACATATTTAAGCATACAAATACTTATTAAAAATATTGCATTCAAGTATTTTTTATGCAAAATCATCGATGATAGTGTCAACATCAATGATTTTCAACATATTTTTCTCAATATGTAACATAACATTTGAAAATAAAAGAATGATTTAATATAGAATATGAGAATATATAAAAATCAAAAGAAATAATTTGAAAACATGATATACCTATAATTTTAAGAAAAATCTTCAATATGATTTAAGCATTACAGTTGATGATAAATAATTGTGACTTTGTATTTGTGATAAATATGAGAAATTAAATAGTGAGAGTAATAATTTTTAGAGGAACTATGAAATATGAAATACAAAATTAATTGATTTTTTTTTAATTTTGAGAAAAAAATATTGAATTAGAATTTTATAGAAAGTTAAACAGTTTATTAATGTTAATATAGTTTATTAATGTTAATATAAAAATACAACAACAACAATTGATACTTTAATAAATTTATAGGTACTATTATTTTATTTAATATTTTTTAAAATTTATTACCAAAAATTAAGAAAAAAAATATTATAATAAGAATATCTTTAATTTTTAGGTTATGGGCGGGCTCCTCTCCTGCTCGGGCCTAGGGTTGACCCTAATTACTATATATTTAGTTTACTCCTATTTATTTTACCTACTTGTTTTTAATTAGGATAATGTTCACAAATAGTCAATTGACTATAAAATATTGTTTTGTTGAGTCTCAAATTATCAAAAGTTACAAAATGATCCTTTGACTATAGACTATTAAATTATCGAGTCCCCTAATTATTTAAAGTTACAAAATGATCATCTGACTGTTTATATTTTCTATTTTTTTTTCATTTTTTGTTAATAAATTGACGCTCGTTTGAGTTAGACGTTAACATGCTAAATGAGATATGATAAAAATTAATCTCAAAATCATTTTAGCTATATAACCGCTTGAGATTCTATGATCAAATTTCATGGTCTTCTAGTTAATAAGTTAATATCCAATTTAAATTGTCTTTAATTTTTAACCAAAAATAATGATTTTGGAATATATCAATAGTTGGTTAATTATTTTATAATTTTTAATAGTCGAAAAACTCAAAAGAATAAAACTCTATAATTAAATGATAATTTTATAACTTTTAATAATTGAAGTACTCAACAAAATAATACCCTATACTTAAAAAATCATAAGTATACTTTAGCCTTTTTAATTAACACTTTGAAGATCAGCATTACTAATCGAAATCCTCGGGCGGGGCATGAAACATGTATAGTAATTATCTCCTACAAAAAGTCTTGAGGTTTCTTAAACGGCGTCGTTGGACCTGTTTTTCCACAACACCGATAAACCATTCCCACTCCTATTTTTCCCCACCTTCCACTTTTGACTTTCAAGTTCAGTTTTTACGAGAAGAGTATTTTTTTTCCTCCTCAATTTATTTATTTATTTAATGATCATCTCTTCGCCTAAATCTCTGTTTCTTCTGCTCATAGCTCTTTCAACGCAAACGAAATAAATAAATAAAATAATCAAATTCCGAGACGCACTAAAATATTCTAGGGTTTAATTAAGCTCTCCCTTATTATCACTGTTTAATTTCAATCGACCCTCGATTTCTTCTTCAAACTACTGTCTCGGTAAGTTCAAAGTTTAGTCTCCTCACTTTTTTTTTTCTCATTTTGTTTTTTCCTCCGATCATTGAATTCACGAGCTCTCTGCCATATTTTTTGGTTTGCTTATCTGTGTATTTCTTTAGTTGACTTATTTTTGGTTAGATTTTCCTTTTTTGCGGATAGCTTGCTTATACGTATGATTTTTTTAATGCTAATTTATCTTGTTTGAAAACTTTGGTTAAGTTTTGGCTGAATTTTCATCGGGTTCATCGCAATTTTAGAAATCATGTTCGATTAAGAGCAGAATTCAAATTTTAGTTGCAATACTTGCGTTTTTAGTTGAAACATGATTTTAATGAGAGTTTAATTGTGTATATTCAATCAGTTTCTGCAAAATCACGTGGAAAGATTTTTATTTTTAAAATGGTAGATAATTCTGTATTCTTTGGTAAATTTCAATAGTTATATATTATTATTATTATTATTATTTTTATTGTTGATGATTTTTTATTGCATGATGCTGGATATTCTTACTTAATATATCCTTTTGATATTCAAATATTTAGGGGGCAATGACATATATATTTTTCATTTCACTTTTTATCTAGGGGTCACTGGCTGCAATGCATCGAGTGCCCAGTGCTGGGAACAATTCTAATTCTAGCCGCCCACGTAAAGAAAAGAGGCTGACATATGTATTGAATGATTCTGATGACACAAAGGTGAAGTTTTTTTGTGTGTCTCTCTGTGTGTGTATGTTTTCCTCTCTTTTTTTAATCTTTTTGTATTTTCTGCATATAATTATTTTCCCTTTTGAAGTGAACAATATGGCTTCCTCGGTATTTGGAAATCTTGAGGAATTTGAATACTCATGTTATTAGGATTCTAATTGTTTATTTGTGTTTTTCACTGTGATGTTGCTTTTTTTTATTATCGGTGTTTACTTAGTTTTAAAATGCGCATCTAGGTGCGCCTAAGACCCAGAGCGCTTATGAGCGCATGAAAAACGTCTCTAGAGTTAGGGGCGGAGCGAGGAACGGGAAGCTTTCTAAGGCACTTGCTTTTGAAGTTTTTGGAGAAGGCGACAAGTGCACCACTTCTGCTGCTTCATTCTGTTCTCTGTTTTTTGCTGTGTTTTTATTACTTATAATAGAGTAAAGCAAACCTAATATAATAAACAAAATCTTTCTATATTTTATTTATATATTTCTTTAATTGTATGCATTCCTGAAGGAGGCTCTCAAACTTATAATGATCCATAGAATAGTCATTTAAGTATTTTTTATTTCTTTTTCCTTTACATGTTTAGGTTTACAATTCATTGCTATATGTGTTTTTCATCAAATTGAGTAAGAAATTCTTCTTATTGTATATCTTCTATGATGATAAACTTACTGTATCTGAAATCTATTTGGGTTTGGAGCTTGCAAACATCCTTTTCCAAGATACAGCTTTTCTAGTCTCATTATTGAATGCTTTTTATCCTTTGGATTGGCCATAATTCACCCAAAAAAAAATTGTATCTTAGCAAAAGAGGGAAGGGCTAGGTTGTTCCAAGTGTAAGATATCACATTGTTTGAGGAACCCTAGATGCTGTAGAAGTAATGGTATGTGTTTCCAGTAACTAATTCTTTATATTATCCATACTTCTATCATTATACATTAATATAGGGCCATCATGTTCACAATAAGCTTGGATAACTTTGCTTGTGATTTGCTTTATATTCTCAATTATAAAAGTAATTATCTTGAATTGTAGACTAGTTCATCATTGTATCACTTTATTTTGGGTGTTGAATCTAGGCGCTGATGTTTCTCTACTTTGATATGTGTATATATATTTGCAGCATTCTGCTGGCATAAATTGTTTGGCTGTGCTAAAGTCATCTGTCTCTAATGGGTGCAACTATCTCTTCACTGGAAGCCGTGATGGCACTCTTAAGAGATGGGCACTGGGAGAAGATGCTGCCACTTGTTCTGCTACATTTGAGTCACATGTTGATTGGGTACCTTCTTTTTTTTCTCTGAGCATCTGCATGACCACTATACTTTAGACAGTTTCTTTTTATTGCTAACTTTTTGTTGGAAGGATATGATAATTTAATTATTAATCTGTTGGTATGCTACAATGCAAGTATCTTGATTTATTATCAATATGATTATCTTATTAACCCACCTGCTCACCAAAAGTAACACCTAGAGCAAGTATTCATGTTGCACTTCAATTACATTTATAGTCAATTTGAATGTTGAGAGTATTTTTGTCTTCTTTTACTTCACTTTGTTAAATTCACCATCTAATTATCTTATATAACGTACATCCCTGTAATTGTGTAAATTATGATTGAGAATTTCTTTGTGCAGGTAAATGATACTGTAATTGCCGGTGAAAATACACTTGTTTCCTGCTCATCAGACACCACTTTGAAGGTTTTTATTAATTGGTATATGACATGTAGCTGTTCTCTTTTTAATTTGTTAAACAAGTGTTCTTTCCATGTGATACGCCAGACATGGAATTGCTTGGCTGATGGGACTTGTATCAGGACACTTCGCCAACACTCGGACTATGTTACATGTCTAGCTGCAGCTGAAAAAAATGTAATTTGATTCCTATATCAAATTTTCTTTGGATTTTATTAGCTGCATGGATGAAATGCTCATGTCAATGTAATATTGCTAATTTCGTTTCATGTTTAATTTGGCTGCTTAAGTTGTCCATCAAGGCTTGATTTTTAATATTATAGAAATAGAAGTCACTTTCTGATTCTTTTTTAATATTTTAGAAAAATGTGGTTGCCTCCGGGGGGCTTGGGGGGGAGGTTTTTGTATGGGATATTGAAGCTTCAGTCACTCCAGTCTCAAAGTCTAGTGATTTAATGGAAGATGATTGTTCCAATGGTATCAGTGGTTCTTCAAATTCATTACCCATATCAAGTTTGCGAACAATTAGCTCGAATAACGGTCTTACTGCTCACACAACTCAATGTCATGGATATGTCCCCATTGCTGCCAAAGGCCATAAAGAGTCGGTCTATGCATTAGCAATGAATGATAGTGGATCCCTTCTTGTATCTGGTGGAACTGAGAAGGTAAGTTTTGCTTCTTTCTGAAGTCAGATTTTATGAAAATATCATGTTTCTCCCCCCCTATGACATATTGCCAGAGATGGTCATGCCCTTTGTTTTGTTGGTCATTTGTTTTTCCTATCAATTTCAGTTGCAATTTTAGTTACCTTTCACAATTTATATAGGTTGTGCGTGTTTGGGACCCGAGAACAGGCTCGAAGACTATGAAGTTGAGAGGGCATACGGACAATGTTAGGGCTCTGCTTCTGGATTCTACTGGCAGGTTGCTATATGAATTTTTAGATCCATAGTCTTTAATATAGTATTAGCTTGATTTAGTTGGAGGCCTTACAATTATGGTGCTTTAGTTTGCCTTAGAAGATGCGCTATGTTCATCTGATTATTTTCTCTTGTAACTGCTGAACACTTGTGTAGCAGTGGGGAAACTAGTTGGCAGGAAAATTTTGGAAATTCAGAAAAAAAAATTTCCCCCTTTTCAGCAGTCCTATGCTGCAAAATATTTTGAGAACAATGAGTGTAGAGACTAAAGTCTAAACCATATCATGGCTTCATGTGTAAATGTTCACTTTTGTTTTGTAAGTTAAGTCAAATTGGGGTGTATGCTTATTTGACCATATTAGGTTCTTCCCTTGATCGACTTTTGGCGAATCCTTTTATTTGTTTCTCTCTATGTTCTTCTGTTATTTATTTATTATATTGGTGAAAAGTTTGATAGACATTTTGTATTCTCCCAGGTATTGTTTATCGGGCTCCTCTGATTCCATGATCAGGTATGTGCGATTTTCACTGTTGCATAACCACATGTAATTTTCAACAATAAAAAAAGAAAAGAACTTGCCTTTTAAATTGTTATAATTTTATGCTGTAGACTATGGGATCTTGGTCAGCAGCGTTGCGTGCATTCATATGCTGTGCATACAGATTCTGTTTGGGCACTTGCAAGCACCCCGACGTTTACTCATGTTTATAGTGGTGGTAGTAGAGATCGTTCTGTGAGTACATATTCATACCAAACCTTATCAGCATAATTCTTTATCGTTTTGCGAATGCTTTGACGTAGAATTTTCCAAGAAACCTGTGTTGATACAGGGCAATTGGCTTATAGTATTTTAGGATTTATTGAGATTAATGGATTGTAAATTATTAGAATAATTAGGGTTCTAATTATTTGTATAGGTTGATATTGGATGGAACTAATAAAAGATATAGAAAGATAATCCTGGGCTATGCTGATAATTTTAGCAGTATTTGTAACTGGTAAATTAAGGTTTAAGGATTTAATTCGATAACGAATTTATATTAGTGGTATTTGGATTTATTGGAAGTATTCAAGGTTGGTAATTAGAGATAAGACGAATAATAAGTGATCTTGGCTTCACACCTAAGCATTAGGACAAGGGTTGGTTAACAGTTCTTATAGTTCTCATAAGTTGTTCAGATGATGGAATTGGATTTGCAACAAGGTAGTTCATCGGTGTCTATGAAGCATTTAGTGGAAGCGAAGAAAGAATTATGGGATTTGTATAAGAAAGAAGAATCGATTTGGCATCAGAAATCAAGAATGAAGTGGAGCTTGGAAGGAGATATGAATACAAGATTTTTCCACCAAAGTGCAGGAGCTAGAGGAAGGATGAACAAGATTAATACTCTAAAAGTAAACAGTGATGTTATTTCGGATCCTATTTTAATCAAGAACTCAATGGAGGATTTCTTTAAAGGGGTGGGGTGTTTAATCAAAAGGATACCTTGGTTGTTGAAGATTTGGATTTTGAGTTTTTAAGACTCTCAATAGATCAAAACAGGGTTCTTGAAAATACATTTTCGGAAGAGGAAATATGGGATGCAATTGCTCATTCGGATAGCAACAAAGCACCTGGCCCCGATGGTTTGAATTTGGGGTTTTTAATTGGGGGAATTTAAAAGAGGACTTGGTGGTGTTTTTTAGGGAGTTTCACTAAGGGAAGGAATGAGACTCGGAGGTGAATCATTCTTTTATCTCTCTTATTCCTAAGAGAGTGAATTCGGAGGGGCTATAAGATTTTAGGCCTATTAGCCTTGTTGGAGGGTTATATAAAATCCTATCTAAGGTACTAGCTAGAAGGTTGAGTCTTTGCGTTAATGAAATAATAAGCCCCTCACAATTTGCATTTATTCCGGGGAGACAAATTATGGATTGTTCGTTTATTGCAAATGAGGGTATCGACTATTGGAGGAAAAAGGGTTTGAAGGGGGTAGTGTTCAAAGTAGATTTTAAAAGAGCATATGATTCGGTAGATTAGTCTATTTTGATGAAAATAATGTGTAAGATGGGGTTTGGGGTTAAGTGGTCTTCTTGGATTAATCAATGCGTGTCTATAACAACAATTTCAGTTTTAGTTAATGGGACACCTACAGAAAAATTTCAAACATTACGAGGACTTCGACAGGGCTGCTAGTTATCTCCAATGTTGTTTAATTTGGTTGGAGAGTTGCTACATTTGATGCTGGCTAAAGCAGTGGAAAAAAAGACTATTTTCAGGCTTCGAGTTAGGAAATCAAGAGAGGTTATTTATGCTGTCACATTTGCAATTTGCGAATGACCAGATTATCTTTAGTAAGGCTTCTGTCCGAGACTTGAAGAATGTTAGAAGGGTGTTGCTAATTTTTGAATTGTTGATGGGTTTGCAATTGAATTTATCTAATAGTAAAATCTTTGGTATTAATGTTGAACCGGACGTGTTAGCAGGCTGGGCTAATGAAATCGGTTGTTCAGTGGGTCTTTTTCCAACAGATTACTTAGGTTTACCGTTGGGGTCCAAGAGGAATTCTGCAACCTTATGGGAGCCAATTGTTCAAAGATTTCATTCAAAATTGACTAGTTGGAAGGTTAATTCCCTATCTCTAGCTAGAAGGGCAGTTTTAGTAAAGTCAGTCGTGTTCTCTTCCCACATATTTTCTTTCTCTTTTTAGAATTCCAGTGGGTGTGGTGAAGGAATTGAATTCAATTATGGCTGCCTTCCTTTCGGGGGGTTCGTCTGAGAAGAGGAATATTCATTGGGTGAATTGGAAACTGGTTTGCAAGTCGAAGAGGTTGGGGGGATTGGGAATTCCGAATTTGATGCTTCTAAATAGAGCTCTTTTGGGTAAATGGGTATGAAAATTTGCTACGGAGGACTCGTGGTGGAAAAAGGTGGTTTGTTGTGTGTATAATATTGAATTTAATTCGTTCTTGACTGCGAACTCATTGTCCTCTCGGGCTTCTTGGATTTGGAAGGGAATTTTAAACAATTTCTTTTTTGATGATGATTTCGGGGACTGTCTGAGGAAGAACTTATGTTTGAAGATGGGGAACGGTGAGTCAGTGCAATTTTGGCAGGATTCTTGGTTGGTTTCGATTCCTTTAAAAGTTAGGTTCCCTAGGATTTTTGCTCTATCAATGAATAAAGATGGTAAAGTTGCAAAATTTAGAGACAATTCTCCTTCCGGGTGTTGTTGGGATATAAGATTGAGAAGGAATCTAGTGGACTGGGAGGTTGAACAGTGGTTGCAGCTTATGTCCTTGTTGAATACTACATCTCTATCATCCTTGCAAGAAGACTGCTGGGTTTGGACAGGGAATGGGGAGGGCTGTTTTTCAGCTAAATCTTGTGTTAAGTGTTGTTTTGATTGGGCTGGTAATGAGGTATATGAAGGCATTTGGGACAGCATTGTATGGGCAGGGGTTGCTCCTCCAAGGGTGGAAACCTTTGTCTGGCAGGCTGCTCACCAGAGAGTGGCAGTTAGAGAGGAATTAATAAAGCGAGGAGTAATAGGAATTGAAGACTCCTCTTGTCCGTTGTGCGGTAAGTGTGTGAAATCGGTTTCTCATATTTTTGTACATTGCGAGGTTGTAAGGTGTTTGTGGAGTAGATTCTTATCATCATGGAATGTATCTTTTGTTGCTCCTCGGACACTGTCGGATTTCATAATTGTTTGGGATGATCTAGTCCCGAACTCCACCATTTGGAAGTTCATCCTTAGGGCGGTGTTGTGGTCGATTTGGAAGTGCAGAAATGAAATTATTTTTGGGAAAGGAAAGGTGGATGGTCCGTTATTGTTCTTCCTTGTTCGTTTTAGGATTGCATCATGGTTTGTTGCGAGATTTAAAGATGTTCAGATCCACTTCGATTCTCTTGTGGGTGATGTTAGACTTGCTGATTTGGGGGTAAGAAGGAAGAAGGGTAGTCTTTCTTCCACCTGCTGGATTCCTCCCCCCTCAGGTTTAGTTAAGTTAAATGTTGATGGTGCGATGTCCAAGGACTGGGATAAAGGAGGCATAGGTGGCTTGATAAGGGATTCTGAAGGGCTGCAACATGGTTCGTTTTCTGAGAAAATTGGGGGTGGCCCTCCTATTCTTGCAGAGTTGTTGGCTATCAAAAGAGGGTTGTTATTTATGGACGAGAAAGCTTTGGCTTCATTTCCAAGGGTCATCCTCGAATTGGATTCCCTAACTGCTCTGAAATGGATTAAAAATCCAGCTTTATGTACTCCTATGTTCCAGTCTTTGGTGGAAGACATTCCTGCCGTAGTGGAGAGTAGAAATGTTATTGTTAGGCATATTTTGAGAGCTGCTAATTGTGAAGCTAATACATTAGCTAAAGAAGGTATAGGATGATTAATAGGGTATAAGTTAGGTAGTTCTGCTATTCAGATGATTATTTATGTTCTTTGTGGGATTCTTAAGTCTTATGTTGTAACAGAAGCTACCTAGGATAAGGCTTTGTATTATTCTGATATTAATAAATTTCAAGGCACTCTTTTCCTCCTTCCAATACCTTCATGTTATTGTAGTAACATGGAGGTCAAGAAGGGGTTTTTTAATGAGGCCTTCCCTATTTCTATAAAAAAAATTAGATCATGCTCATCTGTAGATAATTTTCCTACAAAGACATGGATTAGTAGGAAACTCCAAAATTGACTTAAACTACTCCTAGGCAATGAATAAAAACCTAATAAAATAAAACAAACTCAAGTAAATATGTTTCCGTCTTATAAAAAAAAGTTAAATATGGTTCCTAGCATCAAATTCTTATGAAACTATCTGCGAATGTATGTCATTCTAAAATGAATGAAACAGAAAACAAATAAAATGCTGCAACTTAAGCTCAAAGAAAGGTAATGTTAAGACTTAGTGTCTGAATCATTCTGATATCAAACAAATGCAATATTTCCAAGCCTTTTTACCATGTGATCTTGGCAATTCTTGACATCCTTGTACGTAACTTCCAATAACTACCTTTAACTCTCAACTTGCACTTACTTTTTGCACGTGCTTTAGTTATATTTGACAGACTTGACAACAAGAGAGAGTCTTTTGCTTTGCACAAAGGAACACCCAATTTTGCAGTTGGCATTGCATGATGATAGTATATGGGTTGCAACGACAGATTCTTCAGTTCATAGATGGCCTGCTGAAGGACAAAATCCTCAGAAGGTCTTTCAAAGAGGTGGTTCGTTCTTGGCTGGAAACTTATCTTTTTCAAGGGCGAGAATTTCCTTAGAAGGGTCTACCCCTGTAAGTATAATTTGTGTGCTTCTGTAAGATGTGGATTAAATAATATATATGTTTGTATGTTATTGTTTACTGCAATCACCTTGTTCCATAATAACTTTTGTATCATGCATCCTTCTTTTCTCTTGTTTATTAATTTGTGTCAAGTATCATGAAATATACGAACTCTGCATTGTAGTAGCATTTCTTTTCTTTATACACTTTAATTGTTGTGAATTTTTCCTGCTCATTTAGTTGTTAGTGGTTCTATTCATTTGTTCTTCACTCACCTAACCCCAAGGGAAAAAACAAATATTGGGTTTTATTTTCATAATCAAAATGTGCTTTGTTATTGATACCTCTTCAAAGTTTGAATGTCTGGAATTTGTTGTAACATTTTCTCTTATCCCTTTCCTGTGCTGCCGTTGTCATTTATTCAGGCTGCAGTTTATAAAGAACCAATCTTTTCCATTCCTGGAACTCCAGCAATAGTTCAGCATGAAATTTTAAATAACAGAAGGCATGTATTGACTAAGGTAAATATGGTTGTACTCATATTTGTGGTTTCAAAGATATTTTTTTGGGGAAATTATTATTACTACTACTATCATTATTATTATTATTATTATTCTTTGACAGGATACTGCTGGTTCCGTAAAGCTCTGGGAGATAACCAGGGGTGTTGTGATCGAGGACTATGGACAGGTGAACTAGGTTTTGTTTCCTTTTTCTGTCCTTGTTCATTGAGTAGAATTGGCTTGCACTTTGCTTCACTTACAAATTTGGTACACGTAGACACTTGCGTATATATGGTTATATTATTTATTGAATGTATTTATCTATTCTTTCAATTTCACTGTCCAGGTTTCATTTGACGAGAAAAAAGAGCAGTTGTTTGAGATGGTGAGATAGCTGCTCATTTGAAATTATATCAGTTGAAGACAATACTTCCGTTCTCAAGGAATTTACTTTTTATCTTTTCGAAACCAATCTAGGTAAGCATTCCGGCATGGTTCACGGTGGATACCCGTCTTGGAAGCTTGTCTGTTCATTTAGACACACCCCAATGCTTTTCTGCGGAGATGTATTCTGCTGATCTAAACATAATTGGCAAGCCTGAGGATGATAAGGTTTTAATTTTTTTTCTATTGATTTTGACAATCAAGACATATATACCTGTGAGAAGTGGTTCAAGAACCCTTTGATTATAATGTGCATCTGGTGTTGACTTGTCTTTACAGGTTAATCTAGCTCGTGAAACCCTTAAAGGTCTGTTGGCTCATTGGCTGACCAAAAGAAGGCAAAGACTTGGTTCCCAGGCTTCAGCTAATGGAGATGTTTTATCAGGAAAAGATAGTACTGCAAGAATTCTTGTTCATCCAAGAATTGAGGTAGATGGAAATGCTGAAAATGACTCCGTGGTCCACCCTCCTTTTGAGTTTTCCACAGGTTCCCCTCCATCAATTATCACTCAGGGTTCCCAAGGAGGTCCTTGGAGAAAGAAAATTACTGAATTGGATGGAACTGAGGATGAAAAGGACTTCCCTTGGTGGGTTTTGGATTGTGTTTTAAACAATCGGTTACCACCACGAGAAAACACCAAGTAACTTCTGTGACCTCATTAAACTTTCCTTTGCTTAATTTAATGTTAAGTAACAAGTTTTGGAGGAACTGCATACATGTGCTGAGGCAATGTTAGGAAAGGGCACTAATTTTGGTTCTCTAATCAAGGCCTAAGTTTCTCAATTGCGGTTCTATTTCAGTTGATTTCATAGGTTTCCCAATATGATTTTATTTTAGTTAATTTATTTCCTTTGTTGAACATTTTTATCCTTATTTAAAGGACAAATGGAGTAATAAACCTAAGTCAAAATTTTATCAAAACCGAAGAGGTCTGGGTCTCTCTTTAACTGTTCCTAAGGTTTTACACTCCCTTTGATGAGTATTATCAGCTTGGAAGGTGCATGATGACCTAGTCAGAATTCTGCAATTATCCTGATTTCAAGCTCAATATCAGTACCGTTAGATTTGTGGCAATATATCAATATTATGTTATTAGTATAAAATGTTGATAGTATTTTCAATATGTTTATTTTCAGGTGCAGCTTCTACCTTCATCCATGTGAAGGTACTGCTGTTCAGATCCTCACTCAAGGGAAGTTAAGTGCACCTCGTATATTGAGAATACATAAGGTATGCCTGTTTGGTATTTCTGTGGGTCCTTTTTTAGCATTACATGTGATTATAGAAAGTAGCAAATGTTTGATTCTATAAAAATTTAGATCGACTGGGTTAGTACCCTAGAATCTGTTTCATGCTCATGGACTGCAAAAGGGCTAAAAGAATGTTTAGTTAATGAAAATACTATTTTAGGATACATATACATCGATAGTATCTTTACGTTGTTTTAGCTGACACAATACATCAACAAATTTGAATAGTTTTCTGTATTAGCTTTCTTGAGGGCTTGTTTGCTAGCAATGTATATTAATGCTGAACAGTTTGTCCTATACAGTATTTGTATATCAATATTTTATTTTTTCCTATTGTAATGTATGTTCTCTCCTATACGGTTATGTAGGTTGTTAATTATGTCATAGAAAAGATGGTGCTTGACAAACCAATTGATACCGCAAATACTGGTGGGTCATTTGTTCCTACACTTGGAGGACAATTGCAGCATTCAGCTATTGGAGATGGATCTTTTCGATCTGGATTGAAACCTAGGACAAAGCTTCGGCCTTCTGTTGAGATTTTATGCAATAATCAGGCAAGTAAATCACATATTAGATTTTATCCTGCCATCAGCTTAAGAGCCTTGATCCCTTTTTCAAAGCTATAGTTTATTTCATCATTTTCCTCTTACCGTGTGATGTTTCAAATCAACATACTAAAATTTTTCATTCCGACTTGTTTAGTTCAACTTCAATCCTGCTGTGATGACCAGTCATTCGATTGCTACTTTATGTTCCAGGTCTTATCTCCAGACATGAGCTTAGCTACTGTGCGGGCTTACATTTGGAAGAAACCTGAAGACTTGGTACTGAATTATAGAGTGGTTCAGGGCAGGTGACTTTATTGACTTCTGGGAGCAGGTGAGTGGCTAACTTACCTGTATTGCTTTTAACTATTGCTGTGCAAAAGTTGGTCAGAACAGACATCAGGGCCGAAATTGGCTTAGTTTATTGAATTGGGTCTGTTAGAACAGGTTCGGTGTAAGTTGATTATTAATATCAGTTTTAATTTAGTTTTTACCGAAATTATGTCCATCGTACAGAATTTGAACTGTACCCTTTCTTATCTGTTGGGTGCCAGCATGTTTGTTTCGGGACATCGGAGTCATACTGTTGTAAAGTGTTTGGAATTGTATTTTGTTCATCTGAGGTTGCCTATATCAGAAGCATATGCTGGATCCTTGTATATTTGGGAAGACTACTGGTTTTCAAGCTGGGGGCATTCTCCAGTCTTCATCAAGACGATCATCAATAATGTTTTCGAAGTCAATCAGATGCTATCGTAAAGTTTTGGTCTCTGTGTCGTGCGTGCTTTCACCGTACATCTGAGAAAAAGCTGTAGGGTCGAAATGCAAGCGGCAGAACAATATGTAAACTCCGGGGGACAATCAGCTGAAGGTGAAGTTCGTGCAAAAAGTAGGGTATATGATGTCGAAAGCTCTGTAGGTTTGTACTGTGAGGGAGATATAATAGAAACTATTGTTACCAAGTGTGTTTCCTTTTTCCTCTTATTTTTTCACCTGGAAATAAAAGGACAATTAATTTGTGTTATTTTGTCTTGATTTTCTAGATCTTTTTCTTCTAAATTGGATCAACATTACATATTATGCAAGCTAGAATATAAAGACTAAATTCAAAATTCGAACATCATATTGGGATGATCTAATATACAAGCAACATTACCAATATCATGAAAAGACATTGGATATAACAACATATTTACGTGGCAGCCAATTCATAACTTCAAAGTTGGGGTATAGGTTTGAGAAAGCTTTTATTGTTAGGTATGGATATGGAGCACGTGAGTGGATTGTTGGTCTAATTGAATCGATTATTTTGTATCAAAATATTTGAAAATTCAATGAACCGGTGAGAATTAATTGAAACAAACAAAGAGTGATAATAAAAAAATTATAAATTGAATAAGAGCTCAGTTGTATAAAGAGAATGAAAATCGTAACTTATGAACACTAAACTATAATAAGAGAAAACGAAATATTAATACTCTCGGAACAAAACTCACCGATCAAACTCCGACAGCCTCTGATCTCTCATTTAGTGTCGGTAGAAATCCGAGTCTGATCAACAAAATATCAAAAGAGCATCAACAATCTTATCTTAAAGCTATCAACCTGCAGAAAGTAATTAACACGCTATTTACTTGGAAACCATTCCTTTTTGTCGACTTCATGTAGAAAGAGTCTAATTCGGGTTTGGAAAAAAAAGGCTCTGTTTTGAAAATCGGATCGGCCGGTTCAATCGGGAATCGTTGTTTATTCCGGTTTAATCTAAACCGGTTGAACCGCTATTAGTGAACCGGCCAAAACCGTTAAACCGTTCGAACAGGATCGGCTGAAAACCGGAAAAAACCGGGATTTTTGTTTTTTTTTTAAAAAAATTAAACCAAACAACGTCGTTTGTTAACGAGCCAAGTCGAACTCGAGTATTGCTGAGCTCGACTCGAACTTGAAAACTTTAAAAGTAAGCTCAACTCAAAACTCACAAGCTAAAAATTATCAAGTTCAACTCATACTCGAAATATAATATTGAAACTTGAACTCAAAAAGGCTTGAACTCAAATAAAAATTAGAAGCTCGATTGAAGCCTAAAATTCGAGCTTGATTGAAGTGAAAGAATAGTTCACTCAATGCTCACCAAAAGGCTCCATGATTTTGAATGCCAAATTACCTCTATTATTTATAGAAGTTAGTTGTGATACGCTTCTATGTTTCTTAGCAATGTGAGATTGTTTTGTTCTCATATTTTTACTCTTTAGACTTTTGGGATGCTCTTCTATGTTTCTTAGCCATGTGGGATTGTTTTTTTTTAAAATATTAAACCAAACAATATCATTTTGTTATGATTTTTTTAACCCCAAATTTATTTTTTAATTATAGTTATATAATTATATTTATTATTTAATATGTTTTACCTTAAATATTATGTTGTAGTTAATTTGAATCATTTTGTTTCAATTGATTTTATGGTTTTTAACTTATATATGTTATGACTTGCTTTGAATATGACTTGTGATATAAAAAATTATTTTTTATTAAATATTTTTGGTATTTTTATTTAATTTTTTAAATAATTATGACGTCGTCCGGTTCTTCCGACCGGTCGAATCGGTTCGACCGGTTGAACCAGTAAACCGGTAGCATGACCGGTTCGTTAACCGGTCCGGTTCTGAAAACCATGAAAAAAGGCCGTAAGTAATTATAGGGTAATTTAAGTCTTTACTATAATTTTTAAAATTATATCTAATGTTAGCTTTTATTTTATTTTAATATCTATCGTTAAAAATTTAAAGCGTTTAGTATTTAAAATATCAATTTTGATTTATTTTAGTACTTAAACTTTCATTTTTTTTTCAAAACTTAACATTAAATTTTTAACGGTACTAAAATGTAACAAAAACTAAACGTTAGATATTAATTTAAAAAAAATTAGAAACTTATGTACTAAAACAAACTAAAATTAATAATATTGGTACTGAACGTATAATTTATCTTAATTATAAATACAATTCTTTAATTCTTATCCCATAACTAAACTTTACAAGAATGATGTCTGGCAATAATACTTTATGATAACATATAATTTTTTAAAGGGTAAACTACTCAAATGATCAGTATATTTGAGTACATTTTCGTTTTATCTAGTTAAGTTTTAAAAGTAATAAATTGATCAGTAACGTAGAAATTTGATCACCAACGTTAACGGATGTTACTGTGGGCAACAGAAAACTAACGTGGCGCGTTAACCTCCAACCTGGTACCGTTTGACCGTCCTTTTGACCATCTTTCACACCCATCTTCGCTCTCTGCCATTTTTTGTTTGCCAATCTTGATATAAATAAGTTCAATTCTTCTTCTGTCACCTCGTCATCTCAGGTCAGTTAAGTCTTCAGCAAAGACGACTCCGTCGACTGCGACGGGTACGGTAGGAGGGATGGGGACTCCTGGTGAAGAAAATGATGTTGGGACTTCTTTTGAAAATTCTCCTTCTGTTCCTTTTCTTTCCCTCTCGTTTAAGGAACCTATGTCTTCTATCAGATTTCATCGCCTCTTGAACTGGAATGTATGTTGTTACCCGTTTCACAGAAGGAGAGAGAAGGTATGATGCTGGAGAGCTTGTTTGATCAAGAACGGTCTTTTACGAGAGCGGCTATTCCGGTGAGTCCGGGAGAGAGTGACGACGAGAGGAGAAAAGGGAGAGTGGCTGAAGAGGATAATAGAGAAAATATCAGAGGCGTAGTATTTGTTGAAAAGGAGAAATGAAGGTTCCAAGCCGAGATGTTGAGAGCGGATTGTACGTAACTTGTCGAGGATGGAAAGAAAGATCGCCGTTAAGCAAACGGAGAGAAGGAGAGTTCAAATGGAGAGGAAGTTAAAATACGCTGCTCAGATTTTACATTCCATAGATTTCTTGTTATCCCTTCTTTTTCTTTGATTATTGTCTATTTGGTTCTCGAGAAAATATCAGTCAGGTTTTAGTTGACAAAATGTGGGATGCAATCATTTACTTATAATATTTTCCCAGTTTGCATATCTATTAAATTTCTTTACAGACTACATGTTTATTTATTGCTTTTTGTCTTCATTAATTTGCTTAATAATGGCTTTTTGGCTTTGGTTTCGAAGGGGAAGAAAGAACATTTGTGAAGGAAAGGACATGAACATGGTATTATTGGAGCAGATCAATGGATTAGCGGAGAGAACAGAGAAAATGAAACGAATCTAATTCTTGAAATAATTTCCTCAATGGAAAAAACCAGGGATTCTCGAAGTGTATGGCATAGCATAGGATCCTCAAATTGATGATGTTATTGTCTCCTTCGTCATTCAAGCTAAAGAAACACCAAAATTTTCCTATATAAAGAGACCTTCAAATATCTTTTATAAGTAAGAAAGAGAAGTCCAAAGAGTTTTAGAAAGAAAAAAAAACAATGGACGGATATGGTTACACTTACCGGGGCAGCTACACGACCTACAACAGCGGCGCTGTTCCGCGAGGCGGCGCCGATGGGTGGAGCAAAACAAGTTATGATTCCGATCATAAGTGCCAGCATGTGTACATTGATTCCAGAGGGAGGAGGAACCCGGTCAAGTCGTACACTACTCCGACCGGCAAAACCGAGTATTACGTTACGAAAACCGACGTCGTGGAGGTGCGGACTTATGTGGCCGAATACAAGCAAAGCGCTCCTATAAGAGTTGACACGGCGAGAGACTACGGTCATGTTGAGCGCAAGCCGATCAATAGGCCCTTAAGCCCAGAAAAATGGCGGAAGAGCTCGAGTCCGGTTTGGTATCACGCCGAGGATAAATGGAACCGACCATCTAGTCCTGTTGGGTATCATGTTGAAGAGAAATGGACTAAGCCTTCTAGTCCGGTTCGGTACCGTGTGGAAGAGAAGTGGAACGGCCGTCCTTCGAGTTTGAGTCCTGTTCGGCATCATTCCGACGAGAAATGGGTCAACCGGCCTTCGAGTCCGGTTCACGAACGTCCGCCACAAGTTGAGGATTTCCTTACCAAAGTCCAAAACCAAGCTAGCCGACCAAACAAGTTCGGTCCTCTCAGCGCAACATATTGGCGCCAGACACCAATCGGGACCACTGAAACCGGCGGCGGTTCATGGACTAAGCCAAATCACGGTGGGTCTAATAATCTTAGCCAACCAACAAGTGATATTGGCACTGCCATGGAGTACTTAAAGGAAGCTGATAAACCACTGCCTTCCAGGTGTGGATATCCCAACACCATTGACAGCGAAGAAGCTGAAAGAAGATACGGTGGTGCAACTGTCGGGCCGCCGCCGATGGGCAGTTACTGCAGAACCATTGACAGCAGAGAAGCTACAAGAAAATATTGTGGCGGGGCACTGTGAAAAAACAAACCGTTTATGAATGAATGAATATAAGAGTGCTTTAGGAAATAAAATGTTAGTCCATGTGTCAGTTTATTTACATGTTTTAGGCTTGTTTGATGTTATTTTAATGTTATTTTAATTAGGGTTGTGCATTATCGGATATCGGATGTTATTCGATCCGAATATTCGGATCCGAATCCAATTTTTTTAAAAAAAATTCAAAAAAAACATAAATTAAAATATTCATATTTGTTTGTTTTCTAACAATTTGTTTATGTAATTACATGTCCCACTACAATTTGAATTTTAAATAACATAGTACAATAAAAAAATTCAATGATTTAAGAACCCGATAATTGAACATTCAATCATAAAAGTGAGAAAGAGTGATCTCGGCTCTAGGTTTCAATCTGGTTTTAATGCAGAGCTTGCACCACAACCTGCTTCTCTGCATCAAAAGCATGGTAAAAAGCTAAACGTATTAACCTCTATAGTTGGATATGACACTTTTAGATCAAATAAATGCGAGTATTTCAACCATTTGCCAGAAGAATATTGTTAATTAACGACCATAGAGTAGCTGAATCTTTAGGCACACTTACACCAATAATTTAATCAATTGTTTAAAGTATTAAGACCGAGATGTTGTGCAACATAATACGAGAATATCTGTGTTACT